CTAATTTTCAAATCTTTTAAAGACATTTTTAGAATGCTTTGAAATCTTTAAAAGAACGTCTGGAATACAAGGACATATTTATGTATTACTTGAAATGTTTATTAGCAATTTGGTATATTACCCACAATTTCCTTCTTGGATACTCTGAAAAATAGTATTAAAAAATTGCTGCAAAGACAAACATCCCCCTAAAACTTTTTTCAATTTTGGGAAGACTGTCGAGCTCTTTACCTGCCCATAACCCTGCACTGACTGGGCCAATTGACAAGCTAGGCTGGGTCTGGAGCTCACAGACCCCTCAATCCCGTTCACAGACTGGGTCACAAACCCTTCACATGCGAGGCTGAATCCCCAGACCCCTCACACTCCAGGCTGGGTCACCAGACCCCTCACACACAGGTCTATGAGATAGGTAACTGGCCAACAGGTCCTTGGAGCTGTAGGTTGGAAAGCATTGCCATGCAGAGCGGACACCCGAGGCACGAAATGCCAGCCAAGTTGCAGCACCACACATGTGCACTAACTCTACCCACACACAACTTGTTTACAAAGAATGTGCCACACACAACTTGTTTACAAAGAATGTGCCACACCACCCCCAGCTGGACCCGAGGTGAGGGGCTCTGATTAAACTATTCTATTTTCCTGACAGAGACTTTATCAGTTTTCTTTTATGTTTTTTTAAATGCATTTTTAACAAAGTAGATATTGTACATATTTGTGGTAGGGGTAACTTCTAGCACCAATGAAGCACCAGCAGTAATATTCAATTGGGTTATGGCCCTGATTTAATGTTCATTTTTTCAAAGACATAAATTTAAATATTCATTCTAAACCTTTAATTTCTAATGACTGACCACATTTTTAAAAAACACAAAACTTTTTGAAGAATTATTTCTATACAATAAAAGGCACCAATTTTAAAGATACAACTCTGAGTTTTGACAAATATTACCACCATCCCAACACAAAGATATAGAAAATTTCTGTAATCCTGGAAAGTGTCCTCATGCCCATTTTCAGTAAAAACCCACACTCTGTCTCAGAATACGTATCCCTGATTTGATTTTTAACATTATAAATGAATTTCACTGGTTCTGGAACTTCATATAAATAGAATCATATATTACGAGAGTATTTCAAAAAGTTCATGGAAACATAGAATTAAAAGATAATATGAATCTTTCCATGACCTTTTAGAAGACCCCTTGTTTGCACTTCTTTGATCTGGCTTCTTTTACCTAGCATAATGTTTTTGAGACTCATCTATGTTGTATCAGTAGTCTGCTCCTATTTATTGCAGAGTGGTATTTCATACAATGTGAGTCTACCCTGGGTTGTCAGATTTAGAAAACATACACACACACACACACACACACACACACATACACACACACACACACAGACCCAGAGCTCAGTTAAACCTGAAATCAGAAAAAAAAACCCAGTTGTTTTTAGTATAAGTATGTTGTATATGATATTTGGGACATATTTATGCTGAGAAAAAATTCATTTTTAAAAAATATTTTTATTGAATCATAATTGATTATACATATTTTGGGGGTTCAATGTTGACATGTTGATCAAATAAATATTATTAGCATACATATTGTTACAAATCGTACTTATTTTTTATGTCCCTTGTTCAATCTCTCCCTATCTCCCTCTCCCTTCCCCCTCCCCCCTCTGATAAGCCTAGATTTCTTCTCTCCTTCTGAAAGAGTAATGGTTACTCTTTGGATTTGTTGCCTACATGATCTGTCTAATGCTGAGAGGTGTGTTCAGGTCCCTCAATATTACTGTAGAGCAGATGCTTCTTCTTTCACTCTGAAATGGGCTTTGTGGAGGGAGACATCCTCTTCTTTTCTTTGGTCCCTGCTGGTGACTCTCCTTGTGTCAATGCACTCCAGTGGCTGGCAGACCATCTGCATGGTGGCTGTGGTGTCTAGCTGCTTTCACAGCAGCCGTGGTTACTGTGGTGGCTGTGGTGGACCACCCACATGGAGGTGATGTTTTTGGCATGCTCCTTGGTGCCGGCAGTGTGCCTGCTTGTGGGGAGGGGGTCTGGCCCCCAGATCCATACCTCAGGTCCCTGGGCAGGCCCCAAGGCACTGGTGGTATACCTGGGCTGGAATTAAATTTTTGTCCTTTGCTTACTTCTAAAATAGGGGGACCGGTACTTGAGTTCTGCGGTTGAGCTAAATTGCAGCTTCGCTGCTGATTCCCAAGGGAAGGCTTTTTGTGCAGCTCAGGTTTTAATGGTAGACCTTATAGGTACTTCTGGCTCTCAAGAGATCCGGTGCACCTGATCTGGGCCTGAGTCTTTTCATCAAACTGTACCCCATGCAATTCTGCATTCTTGACCAGTCTCTTCTGAGTGTTCCTTTGCTGACTGGGATGCTGGTCAGCTGTCCTTGCCATGTCCCAGTGTTCCCCTTATGGGCCCGTCTCCCCCACCACCCCTGCTGCAAATATTTCCCATGAGATGGGCCATGCTCCGGTCCCTTGCAATGGCTCACCAGCCTCTGAGTGGCTCCTTCTTTTCAGTTGTTGTGGCTCCTTGCTCCTATGTGGGTCCATGGGTACCCTATTAGTGGTCTTGCTGGCCTGGGGGAGGGACACCAAAGCCCTCTTCTCCCCTGCCACATCCAAGCAACTTCATCCAAAGGGCACAGTTGCAGCTTTTGCCGGCTCCTGCTCCGTGCACTCAGCAGCTCCAGGCTGGAAGCGGCTGCGACACAAAATGATTGGAGTGGTTTTTTCTTTCTCTCATCGTGGCTTCTCCCACTTCCGTGAACTCCATCGGTCTCTCCTCCTCTTCCCCTAAGCTCTAGTGGCCCCAGCTCAGCTACTGTTGTGTTTTTATAGTTGTAAATTGGTTGATTGTGGGAGAGAGTGACACTGGGGACCTTCTATTCTGCCATCTTGACAGGAAGCCAAAAATTATTTGTTTTTATCTGAAATTTAAACTTAACTGGCAATCCTGTATTTTATCTGGCAACCTTAAATCTATCACAATTTATTTATCCTTTCAGCTGCTGATAAACATTTAAATTGTTTCTAATTTTTGACTATTATAAATAAAGCTGCTGTGAATATTCACATATATTTTTGTGGTCATGTTTTCACTTCTTTTGGATAAATACCTAGGAATAGAATGCTGAGTTATAGTGTATGTTTAACATTATAATAAATTATCAAACTGCTTTCTAAAATGGAAGTACTGATTTCACCTTTATCAGACTAGATATCTAATTGCTTACATCATCACCAAAAGTTGCATTTGTTTGTCTTTTTAATTTTGGCCATTCTAATGAGTGTGCAGTGGTATCTCATTACTACTTTACTTTGGATCTCCTTGGTGACTCATAATGTTGAATATTTTCATATATGTATTGTTCATTTGATTCTACTTTTGTGAAATATATGTCCAAGTTTTTATCTATTAATCATTTTATTTTTTTCTTTTCTTATTACTGAGTTGTAACAGTTCTTTATTCTTGATTCATGTCCTTGCCAGACATGTGCCTTATGATTTTTTTTTCTTGAACCCTGTCTTGCTTTTTTCTAAATGGAGTCTTTTAAAAAAAAGTTTTAATTTTGATGAAGTCCAGTTGACCATTTTTTAATAGTAAATGCTTTTCTGTCTAAAAAATCTTTGCCTACCTTAAGATCACAAAGATTTTCACCTCATTTTTTATTTTTGAAGTTTAAGCTTTATCATTTTGGTCTAAGATCTATGGCCAATTAATTTTTGTATGCGGTGTACTGTAAAGATCACATTTCTTTTTTTCCCCCCACATGGATATCCAATTATTCCAGAACCATCTGTTGAAAAGATTTTCCTTTCCTTCACTGAATTCCACTGGTCTTGTCAAACTTGATGAAACTCATGTTGAGAAATAAAGTTTCTATTTTCCATTAAAAAGAAATCAATTGACTAGATATTGTGAGGGTCTATTTCCGTGTTCTCTGTTCCAATGCATTGATCTATATATATCCATTGTTATGCCTCTGCCACTGTCTTAATCACTGTCTTAAAATGAGATATTGTAGGTCCTCCAGCTTTGTTCTATTTCTTTCTAAATTGTTTTGGCTATTCTTGGTCCTCTGAATTTCCAAATGAATTTTGGAATTAGTACGCCAATTTCTACACACTAAAAGACACTGGTGGGATTTTATTTGGTAAAGCATCAGATTTATAGATCAACTTGGGAAGAATGCATACCTTTAAAAGTACTGAATCTTTAAGGTACACCATATTTATTTAGATCTTCATTCATGTCTTTCAGCAATGTTTCACAGCTTTTACATAGAAGATTTGCACATCTTTCATTAATTTTATTCTTAAGAATTTTGTTTTTCGATGCTATTGTGAATGCTACTTTTTATTTTAATTTCATTTGTAACTGTTGCTACTATTTATAGATCCAGTTGATTTTTTAATAGTTCCATTAAAGTTATCTATTTTTTCTTGGGTCGATGCTATTGTGAATGCTACTTTTTATTTTAATTTCATTTGTAACTGTTGCTACTATTTAGAGATCCAGTTGATTTTTTAATAGTTCCATTAAAGTTATCTATTTTTTCTTGGTTTTTTTTTTTTTTTTTACTTTGTGTCTTTCAAGGAATTGACCATCATCTAAGCTGTCAAGTTTATAAGCATAGCTTTGCTCTGAGTATTTCCTTATTAATGCTTTAATATCTTTGGGATCAATAGTCAAGTACCTTCTTTCATCCTGATATTGGTCATTTCTCATCTCTCTTTTTTTCATCAGCCTTGCTATATAGTTTTACTGATTTTATTGATCTTTTCTTTTTTGGTTTCACTAATTGTCTCTGATGTTTCACAGTTTTCAATTTCACTGATTTCTGCTCTAATCACTATTATTTCCATCTTTCTGCTTGCCTTGGGTTTAATTTGCTCTTCTTTCTCAAGGTAGAGACTTAGTCTGCAGACAGTAGATCTTTTTGTTTTCTAAAAATAAGCATTTTATACCAAAACTTTCTCTGAAAACAGTGCTTTATCTGTATTCTGCAAATAATAATATATTCCACTTTCCTTTTTATTTAGTTCAAAATAGTTTTTAATATTCCATGAGACTTACTCTTTGAGCCATAGGTTATTTAGATGTGTGTTATTTAATTTTCAAATGTTTGTAAGACACAACAATTACAATTCCTTGAAGCTGATACTAGCAAACAGAANTTTCAAATGTTTGTAAGACACAACAATTACAATTCCTTGAAGCTGATACTAGCAAACAGAAGGGACATTGTTGGGAGGGAGGGGGGAGAGGGACGAGGGATGGAGGTTTCAGTAATGGGCCACAATAATCAACCACATCGTATATTGACAAAATAAAATGAAACTAAAAAAAAATAATAATAATTTTCAAATGTTTGTGTATTTTCCAAATATATTTCTGTTATTAATTTCTAGTTTAATTCTATTATGGTGTGAGAACATATTTTATATATTTTCTATTCTGTGAAATTGCTAATGCTTTGTTTTGTTTTGTGTTGTCTTTCAAGGAATTGACCATCATCTAAGCTGTCAAGTTTATAAGCATAGCTTTGCTCTGAGTATTTCCTTATTAATGCTTTAATATATTTGGGATCAATAGTCAAGTACCTTCTTTCATCCTGATATTGGTCATTTCTCATCTCTCTTTTTTTCATCAGCCTTGCTATATAGTTTTACTGATTTTATTGATCTTTTCTTTTTTGGTTTCACTAATTGTCTCTGATGTTTCACAGTTTTCAATTTCACTGATTTCTGCTCTAATCACTATTATTTCCATCTTTCTGCTTGCCTTGGGTTTAATTTGCTCTTCTTTCTCAAGGTAGAGACTTAGTCTGCAGACAGTAGATCTTTTTGTTTTCTAAAAATAAGCATTTTATACCAAAACTTTCTCTGAAAACAGTGCTTTATCTGTATTCTGCAAATAATAATATATTCCACTTTCCTTTTTATTTAGTTCAAAATAGTTTTTAATATTCCATGAGACTTACTCTTTGAGCCATAGGTTATTTAGATGTGTGTTATTTAATTTTCAAATGTTTGTAAGACACAACAATTACAATTCCTTGAAGCTGATACTAGCAAACAGAAAGGACATTGTTGGGAGGGAGCAGGGAGAGGGACGAGGGATGGAAGTTTCGGTAATGGGCCACAATAATCAACCACATCGTATACTGACAAAATAAAAAGAAACTAAAAAAAAATAATAATAATTTTCAAATGTTTGTGTATTTTCCAAATATATTTCTGTTATTGATTTCTAGTTTAATTCTATTATGGTGTGAGAACATATTTTATATATTTTCTATTCTGTGAAATTGCTAATGCTTTGTTTTGTTTTGTGTTTTTAATGGCACAGACTATTATCTCCACACACACTTGAGAAGAATGTATTCTGCTGTTGTTGGGTGGCATGTTCTATAAATGTCTGTTAAACCTAGTTGGTTGATAGTGTTGTTCAGGTTTTCTATATCCTTACTGATTTTCTGTCTACTTGTATCAAGTACTGAAGCTTTCAACTACAATTGTGGATTTGTCTATTTCTCTTTTCAGATGCATCAGTTTTGCCTCATGTATTTTTAAGCTCTTAAGTGAATAAACATTCAGGGTTATTTTTTCTTGCCTATAGGTCATATTTTCCTGTTCCTCTGCATGTCTAGTTTTTATAAATTGTACGCTGAATACTGTGCATAACATGTTGGAGAAACTCTAAGCTATGCTTTTGTTCCCTGAAAAAAGTGTTGACTTTTGTTGTAGTAGGCAGTTCAGATACTGACTGATGATCATCTTGAACATGCACAGTCTTGGTTTTATGCTATGTTGAGGTGAATCTGTAGAAAATCTTGTAACGTGGCAGGACCCAACCCCCAAATACTGTCTCCTTTAGGGATCTTGTCATGACTTGGTATTGGGCTTTGTGAGGGCAGGTCTACAGTTGTTCTTACTCTAAGGTGTGGTCCTGGCTCCTAAGGTGTGGCTCTCTCGGTGTCTTAGCTACACACCTGGGGTGTTAAAAGGGTGTTAATACTGGCTGGGCTGCACTGTCAACATCCCCACAGCACTACTTGACTTCCAGCATCTGCTTTAATCTCATCTTCGTAGCGGCTGCTCTCTGGTAAGCCTTGGGTAGTCTTATTTAATACTGGCTGGGCTGCACTGTCAACATCCCCACAGCACTACTTGACTTCCAGCATCTGCTCTAATCTCATCTTCGTAGCGGCTGCTCTCTGGTAAGCCTTGGGTAGTCTTATTCTCAGAAAAGGATTCCCAAGGGATGCCCACATGGACTTCTGTCCTCACCTCCCCTCAACAGCTCTTTTATCACCTTTCTAGTTGCTTGAGATACCCTAAAATTTGACCTCTGCCTTTTAGCTCAGTGGGTCTATCTGGACTCCAGCTAACAGAGATGAGGTCAGAAATTTGTTCCCAGACAATACTGTACATTCATAGATTCTGCATGAGTTTCTTTTCTCTCATAGTCTTTCACTACCTCTCAATGCCTAGAAACAATTGTCCTATGCCTCATGTTTTAGCCATTTAATGGTTGGTTATGGGTGAAAGGCTAGCCAGTGTCAGCAAATCCTAACATAGTGATTTTAAAATATGCGTATATTATACAAGAAGTAATGCTATTTACTTTTTTAAAATTTTAATTTATCAATATACAGTGTAGTTGACTTTCGTGTCCGTTTACCAATTCCTTCTTTCCTCCCTCCCTCTTCCCCCTGACCCCCATCAGCATCATATCTGTTCACTTGTGCTAGTAACGCTATTTACTTTTGAGCACAGCTTTCCCCAATTTTTCATCTACCTGAATGAACCATTTCTAAAACTTTTGTTTATTATTCTGTTTTCTCTTATATCTCTGGTTAACTATAGCTATAGAATTTAGTTTTCATCATGATAAGCTAGTATCTTTAATTTGTTCTTGATTATATTGCTAGAATTTAAGCAAGGGGCATCTTTGTGTAGTACTGGCCTTTTAGTAGTAAGTAGGAACTTATAGGGTTTGATTTAAGAGGTACTAGAAAGCTCCTTAATCCAAAGTGGGAAACTGAAGAGCATTGGTGTTTTGAGGAAAGGAAGTCACTGAAAGAGACAAAAAGTCAACAAAAGGAAGTGTGTGTTGTCCCAAACCACACAGCAAAGAATCACATCAAGCCCTTAATGACTTTTCTGTCCTAATTATAAGCCTAAATAATGAAGATAGGAGGTAATTACTGGCATAACAGAAGCTTTTACTACAAAAAAAAAAAAAAAGGATAAAACGACTATGACCCATGGAGTGTGGTTTGTAAAATATGTCCCTTTAAAATGAATGTTTTTGTTATTGTGACCTTCTCGGATGGTGACATTTTATGCATATTTTAATTTCAGATCTCTTCCTTTCGTATTTTACATTACTGAAAGTGTGTGCGTTCCACAGCAATCTCAGGTGGTGCTGATGCACTAATACTTGGGGAAATGTAAATAACTGGTTTTACAGTTCTCTATCGATTCTAAATACCCATCAAAGTCTGATATGTCCTATTCCCAAACCTTTTAGCTTATTATGTCTCTTTCCAAGTATAACTTCACATTTCTTATCTAACATTAGCTCCATGTGCTTTTAAAATTGATCATGTTTTCCTTTTGCTTTGTCACAGAACCGTTCTGGACACTGCGTGTGTGACACTTCCACTCACAGCCACAAGATGGCCTCGCAATCAATATTTTGCAGACAGTTTCTCAGTCTGGTGATTTTGTTTCCTTTTTTTTGTTATACTTTAACATATAATCTATTAATTTTTTCCTTGCCATTTACAGTGAGAACCAATAAGAACTAAATATGACTCTTTTTAAGTTGGCCTTTCAATGATGTCTAGGACAATCCAAAAATTAATCACACTCCCACTATTCTGTAGAAGTTGTTTCATTATCTTATTTTAGAACACTGCAGTGCTGTAGCTCTGAGCTAAGGACATAGCTACACCGTGTACTCACATTAGGAAACTCCATTATAAAATCATAAGCATTTGCCGCCTTTGCTGCCTTCTCAATCTCTTCGTCAGTCACACCATCTCGTCCATACTTAATGTTGTTCCTGATGGTGGTCACAAACAAAATAGGCTCTTGGCTGACGACTCCAATATATTCTCGATAATGCTGCACATTTAAAGCTCTGATGTCATTCTCATCCACCAGATCTGCAAGTCCAAAGAATAAACCATTCTGTGATGCCTTTCACTGCACTGGTTTTAGAGTCTTTCTCACTACTCCAAAATACAAGCTGAGAAGTAGGGTATTCCAGGAATCAACGGCTGACTATGTTTTGATAAAATATTTGTAACATGTACATTGTCAATAGGCTTTTTCTTGTAGATGGGAACCAAGAAAACCTCTAAAAATAATTGGCTTAAAATCTTTCCAAACCACCCGAATATAAAGATATTCTAAGATCCAAAAATTAGGTATCATAATACACTGGAGGTGCCACAAAAATTATGGAGACACATACAACAAACTTCAGTTTTGTTATTTTAAGAACTTTGTGATCTTTAAATTTCTTCTAGAAAATAGCCTTCTCTATTTCTCTTCAACATCTCAATCCCACGAAAAAAGACAAAAGCGTCTTCTATTCATTGCTGTACATAATAGTAAGGGAACACTGTCTTCTCCAAAGATGGTGTACATTCCCCATCACCCCAGCATATTCTAGTGACTCATAGAGTCTCTATTTCTCACCAACCCTAGCATTCTGTCTGGACACGGATATTCTATGCAACTGCTTTATAAATGGAATGCTTATCCAACAATTTATTTAGTCAATATTAGCATAGACACATGGGTCTAAGATACACCAAATGAAGTGAAATTTGAATGAAACCAGGCTGTAGGAGAGTAGATTTTCTTTTTAAAATAACAGCTAATGGGCCGGCCCGGTGGCGCACTGCGCTAGTGCGCCGCTTGGGAAGCGCGGCGGCGCTCCCACCGTGGGTTCGGATCCCACATACAGACCGGTTCCCGCTCACTGGCTGAGCGAGGCGCGGGGGCAACATCGAGGGTTGCAATCCCGTTGCCGGTCCCGGTCCGGTACGGGGGCGACACTGAGGGTTGCGATCCGTTGCTGGACATGGAAAAAGACAAAAAAAAAATAAAATAAAATAAATAAAATAAAATAAAATAACAGCTAAAAAGTATGAACAGAAGCATTGAGAATTACGTACCTGTGAGTATCACAGTCTCACTCTCACAAAGGTGAGAAAGTTAAGTGCAACATTACATATTACAAAAAAAACCAAAACTGTGGATATTTTCTACAGACTTCATTCCTCTGGGGTGTTTTGGCAAACACTGAATTTCTTGATAAATTTTGGGTACTACAAATTTCATGGTTTTTTCTTTATAGCATTCATTCCCTTCTAACATACTATATAATTTACTTATTGTTTGTCTTGTCTTAATAGAATATAAACTCGATGAGGATGGAGACTTTTATCTGTTTTGTTCACTGAGGTATTACCAGCATCTAGAACAGTGCCTGACACATAGTAGGCACGCAATACATATTTGTTAAATGAATGAATATACAGAAAAGAAAACAATATGGCTTCTTTCCCAGCTCCACTGTTAATATTGAAAAGTTGGCATAGCCGTCAGCTCTCTGTAATAAATGGTATTTCCAAATCCCACCATGTGGACTGTGCATGGCTTTGCTAGTTGCACTTACAGAGCCATCGTCAGGATTGTATAATCTCTGCAGAAGCTGGACTGCTGTGCTCTTCCCACTGCCACTGGGGCCAACCAAGGCTACTGTCTCTCCAGACTTGATTTTAAGATTCAGACCTTCTAGAATCTTTTGGAATGTGTGTGGGGGGGAATCATAAAACTAGGATAAGCTAGAATATGATGAACACACTTTCAGAAATTTAATGTATAATAATAAATCGAGAAAAAACTCTTTTGTGGAACTTAAAAACACATTTAGATCTTGTTTTTTTCACATACATGTATAATAATAACTTACCTAATTTCAGAAAAAATAGTAAAAGAATCTCTCATCTCTGTATAAAAAGGGGATCTAAGTTAAGAGTACTCATAGAATATTGGAAGTGGTAGACTAACGGGTACAAAACTATACTACCTACCCTAAATGAATCATTGTGCAGTATGTGCATGTATTGAAACAACACACTGTACCCCACAAATATGTACAAGTAAATTGTAAAATTTTTTTTTTCCTTTTAGTCTTTTTTCGTGTCCGGCAACGGATCGCAACCCTCAGTGTCGCGCCCGTACCGGACCAGGACCAGAACGGGATCGCACCCCTCGGCGTTGCTCCCGCACCTCACTCAGCCAGTGAGCGGGAACCGGTCTGTATGTGGGATCCGAACCCTCGGCGGGAGCGCCACTGCGCTCCCAAGCGGCGCACTGTAGCAGTGCGCCACCGGGCTGGCCCAGTAAATGGTAAAATTTTTAAAAAAACTAATAACAACAGTACTCAGAATATTAACTAGATGCAGCAAACTGCTCAAATCTTCAACTATAATAACTTATATAAATTTTATGACCACCAAGTTTGTGAAAGTTTCATCTTTTAGTCTGTGACAGCTGAGTGAAATCTTACCAGATAGTTTTGTGAGCTATTTAAGGAAGCTTTTCCTTAGAATATACTTAACATCATTGTAAAGTATATTCCAAAGTAAAACAACTGGCCAGTCTTCTTAGGGATTCCCATGGATGGGATGTCACCAGTGGATCTCATGGGGACATTTCAATGTGGGGGGAACATTTAAAAAATTTTCTCAACAACTGGGGGTTGCTCCAGCATTTAGTGCCCCAGGGACCTGTGATGTGAGAGAAGCATCACAATAATTACCCTCCCAAAAAGATAATAGTGATCTGTTAAGAAATTCTCACCTATCTTTGTTTGCATTGGTATGTAGTCAGCCCAAAACACAGGAATCTCCCCTCACATTCCCTCACTTCAATGTCAGCATTCATAAAGTAATGGACCCTTTAAATAAGCCAAACATAAAACTTTCAAAGGGCCAAGCAGAGAATTAACTCTCTAAAGGAGATGAAGAACAGGACACTACCAGTACTTTAGAGTTGGTTTCTGCTCATTCCTTGGAAAAATCTGTTTTACTTATATAAAGTGAGTGGATTTTAAAAAAGAATCATTCATCAGCTTTAAAAAAGGTTTATGTTTCAAAAGTTCATTTTAAAAATAATGTTTAAAACCCCGAGAATACTTTCCCATGCAATATAATGTCACGAGGTGCTTAAGTCCCTAGGAAGCCAATCCAAATGTAGTTGCAAAATGGAGTTTAAAATACTCTATGATAAGAAAAGTGGTAGAAGACAACACTATTACAATAACGGTAATTAAATAACAAGAAATTTTGTAAAAGTAAGAGCTTTGAAAAGAGAATTTCAATCAAAGTTTTAATCAGAGAAAAATAAGAAAGAAGTAGATCTTTTTTATGCAAATTCTGTAAGTGATATTAGAGGTTGATGACATTAGTAACTTTATCTAGGTCACTTAAAATCATGTCCTCCTTTTCCTTCAGAACAGGGGTTTTTATTAGTAATTACCCTCTGCAATTTTTAACAGTAACTACTTTTTTGGGGAAGGGTAAATACACTAATAAAATTAAAGAAGACAATAGAAAAGACACATACATTTTCACAAGAACTTGTCAAAGACTGAATAATGGAGGAAGGAGGATAAATTCTGTGTGTGTGTGTAAAAGTGAGAGAGAAAGAACCTGAGGCACAAATGCTTGTGCAGTAAATGCCCTAGGAAAGGAAGGGAGAAAAGGCTCAGCGTGTGCATAATTCCCCCAGGTTGGGAACTAGGAGGTTAAAACAAGTTATCGCTTTTGAGGGGGATAATATCCAGGGACACCTGTTTTAGGTGGCACCTTCAATCCAAGACATTTTGGTGTGCTCCCAAATCCAGAGTAGAGGAATTCCAGGGAGATGAAAATGCTTTAGTCAGTCGACTGTAGAAAAGAGGCTGCAAAATATTACTAGTTGTTTCAGAGCTATATGTCCATTACTGATCTATCTACTTACCTGCCTATCATCTATCTACTCAAGTCTCTAAGCAAAGTAGTCAAAATTGTAGTCGGAATGATCCTAAATAATCAAAAGAGGCTGCAAAATATTACTAGTTGTTTCAGAGCTATATGTCCATTACTGATCTATCTACCTACCTGCCTATCATCTATCTACTCAAGTCTCTAAGCAAAGTAGTCAAAATTGTAGTCGGAATGATCCTAAATAATCTCATAAGAGGAGATCATAGCCAGTAGAAGATAACATCAGAAAATTGTCCAATTGCATAATTTAATTCAACCTACCTTGATAGATGGTCTTGATGGAAAATGAAAAGAAACATTTTTAAATTCCACGGTTGCTTCTATGCATTCAGGTTTATATCCAGTTGTTGAAAAGTTATCTATACTGGGTTTCTTGGGAAAACAAAGGGAATATTATAAATCTTCAAAGGACTAGGCTGACACTCTTTATATTCTAAAAATAGTTTAAAAATGGTTTTCTTTTATAACATTTTCTTTTCTGCTTTAGAAGTGCATTGATTTAGACATGAAAGTTTCAATAAAACACAGTCTCCTCATATAAAAGAGTTAAATGCAGTCTGTCCTTCCATAGCCAACTGGCCAACACAGATTTTTCCCATCCTGTTGTTTTAGTGCAGTGAGTGTGCTTAATTTTTCATCTCCTTCTTGAAGTAATAGAAGTTATCTTTCAAAGCAATAAGAGGCCTTACCTTATCAATAACCTGGAAAATATAAAGGCAGCTCCTCGGGCCATAGGGAAGTTTTCAAAGTAGGGGGTTGCTGCTCCAATGCAATAACTACTGTGGATTACACTAAAGAAAACATACAGGAATAAAAAAATGATATTTATCCTTCTGCAGTTATATAAGAAAGACAACAGAATAAAGTATGTAATTGATTTAGGCTCCCAGACACATATTCGAGTAATTAGGCAAGAAAGACTGGAAGATGCAATCAAATATAAAGGAAACATAATTTCATCCAAGTATCCTCCGCCTTTTCCTAATACGAAACAACTTTGATTGTCCCATAGTCTTGTGGTTATCACCTGCTGGGACATCTGAGCAGGACCTTCTGCTGACTGAAGAGTGCTAGCCATGCACAAACCAGATGGGCAGACTTCACTAGCTCAGAGACATTCTATTATTTCCATCTAAACTTTTTTGAATTCTTGTGTTACTGGACAGCTGCCCATTTTCAGACAGACAAATCTCCGTAAAACATCAAATAAGGAAAGAAACATGCAAGCGAGGTGCTATGATCCCTATCATGCAGAGAAGGATGCTGACGCCCAACAAGCCATGCCCAGTCACACATAGATTGAGGAGCAAGAATGCGCCAACAGTTCTTCACTCTCACATTTCACTCTCTCTGAGATAAATGGTAGCGTAAAGTCTTAATTACGAAAGTCTCGAATTTCAAAAGGTGAATTTAGTTGAAAGAAGAGAAATCTACATAGAATGGGACAGCCAAACAAGAATTGAAGTATATAGAGCAAATCAACTCCGTTCACCAAGACATATGTTTTTTTAAACTCTGAGCTAATCTGTTTATTGTTGAAACCTGGGAGATAACTGAGTAAATGATAACTTAATGCATAACCCCTAGGAATCCAAAAGACTCTAAATTGTGATGTGGGACAGAGCTGCATGTAGTCTATTTTTAACATTACTATGTGCTGAAAGGATGGAGCAGGAACAAGTGAGTCCAGTCTACGGACTATGTCCGGAGGGAAGACATTTAGTGAGGTTAGTGTAGTGTGCCTCCTTCTCTCAGCAAGGGTGAAAGGAAAAGCCTCCCTAGAGACAGGCCTTTTTGACAGCTGGACTAAGAAGAGTCTATGCATCTCCCAGTGGAGAATGCAATTATCATTCTTCTAAAAGCACTATGCTTGGCACAAAGAGGACACTAAAATACGTTGGACGAATAAATCCTGTCAATTCCTAACTACAAAGGTGTATTCAAGTATTTTGAGGAAAATAAATATTTGTTTATGAAAAATATTCATCTTTGAATATGACCTTCATTCAAAGAGAAATTTTTACTAAATTCTAGGTAAGAAGAGATTATCTAGGCCAGTTACCTTTGTTCTCAAACAAGACTTACAGCAAGAACAGTCCCAACGGTGTAACCAGATTCTCCACTAAGAATCAAGGAGGTCCCATACCAAAAAGTGAGTCCATAGGTTCCATTCATAAAGAAGTACACAGCACCAAGAGACAGTTTCGAAGCTATAGCTTGTTTTATGCCAACATCCTTTGCATCTTTTAGATTCTGTGTATGCCTTATAAAGACAAGACACAATATAATAGCCTTTGGCGAAAATAAAACCAAGCATATTTTGTCATAATTAAAGGGACATACCTTTGAATTTCTTTCTCTTGTGCCCCAAAGGTTACAACTGTTTGGACTGACGACAAGACGACTTCTGCTACAGCCCCAGCTTTGGAATAGGCACTTAATTCCTTACTGGTCAATGGGAGGACCATCTGTAATAAACCATGACCACAGTTAGCCAAAGAATGACTCTGGGGTAGAAACAATGTACAGGGCATTTAATTCAGGTGGAATCTGAACTAGAGGTAGCCTAACGTTACCTAGAATCTAAATTCCTATTTATTTTTCCTTCTGCTAGTAGGGCTTTGCTGTTTTCTCTCTGTATTTTAAAAGTCTCTTTTTGAAATGGGTATCCATCTTGGTACAATTGGGAAAGACTTGATTTGGAGAAGAATATTAGAAACATGGTTCTTTTAGGGTGTACTCTGAAAACTAGTGAGCCTAGTTGGACTTGATTTGGTTTGTTATTATGTATAAGCGAGGCTTCCAGTGGGGATGGGTCACCGGCTTGTAACGGGAAGAGGAACATGATTCTGCATATGTGTGGGGTGTGACTTTGAAACTATTACTGCATAATGCTGCTGGTCTAGTAAATGCTTTATCTTCAAACTCTAAGAGGTGAGATTTTAGAGAGAAAGGGGAGAATATCACTATTGCAGGCAGTTTTACCTAATTTCTGAAGATTCAAAATCAAAATGCCCTTTTTCATTGTGTTCCATTTTCTAATCCTTTACAGTTTAGTAATTAGCACAACAGTTCCATGAAAGGGAACAGCAGGGCCATTGTCTTCAGGGTTGTGAGTTTATAACTATTGCCTACGGGAGAATATCACTATTGCAGGCAGTTTTACCTAATTTCTGAAGATTCAAAATCAAAATGCCGTTTTTCATTGTGTTCCATTTTCTAATCCTTTACAGTTTAGTAATTAGCACAACAGTTCCATGAAAGGGAACAGCATGGCCATTGTTTTCAGGGTTGTGAGTTTATAACTATTGCCTACCCACATAGCGAATCTGTCTACATTCAAAATGTGTTCCACATAATCGGAGCTGACTTTACATAAGGCACGTTACATAAAATCAGATGTAACTCAGATGGCTGTTATAGTCAAGAAGGTCACATACGCTGACTAATACTCATTATTTTCTGAATTCACTTAATAGAGATAATTATTTCTATAATATATCACTGGAAGGGAAACACTACCTGGCACAAAGCCTTGTACATAGTGAGTATTTATTAATGACTGCCAAATTAAATTGAAGGGAGCTAGAAATAATCCACACTGGTATCTCTAGTCATTTGGATATCTTTGACCTTCACTAGCTTCCTTTTCACGATCAGTTAATTCGGTACCAGGACTTAGACTCCCTTGTGTTGTTGCTTTACAACACCTTATTCACATTCCTTCCCTGGGAAGTTAAGTTAAAGCTCTGATCTTAGTGACATCCTGTAAGTGATCGTCCTACTGAGAAGTCCTCATTGAACAACACATATTGCACACAGTTATCGATATCCAATGTTGAACCCCACAGATATGTACAATCAATTATGTTTCAATAAAAATTAAAAAAAAATAAGCTGAGGATGAAGATTTTAACAAGGGTTACAGGATCAACATTAGAAGTCACACTTAAGAGTTGTCTAAATATCCAAGCTTATTGTTAAGGAATTAGTCAACTGTAGAATATTTTTATTGCTGAAAATTCTTGTTTGGTTGAATTTGTATATTGCTAACAAATAAACTCATTGAATTTTATAGATTTGATTAATATAAGAAGAATTAGCATTGTAAAAGTTAAGACACTGTGCCACTGGTAGAATTGCCAAAGATGTGATTTGGAGAGGGGATATATTGATTGTTTTTGAACTTCACATAAAGCACTGGTTTCAAAACCAGCCTGCAAATAAGATAAATATCTTGTGGTACACTCACAGTATAATAGTTCTTAAAATGTAATTTAGAATACAAATACATAACTTGTTTAAAAAACCTGAAATGTATTTATGGAGTACATAAAAATAGACATTAGCTGACATTTTAAATATGATTCAAAGCCTTATAAAAATACAAACTTGAAGAGGCTTACATAAAAAAAGTGTTTTAAATTTATTGTTATAGGATTTTCCCATTCTGTTCTATCCAGGGAAACAAATTTTAACATATTTATCTGGGAATTTAGAATACACAAGGCTCTCCCAGCTGCAACACTAAACATCCCACGTATAATGGCATTATACTTTATCCACGCTATCATTTGAAGCTACATTAAGCTACTAATTGAAATGTTTTGCAATGTTAATAAGATACTAAAAACAAATCTCATTTTAGCCAAATAATTAGAAGACGGAAAGGTGATTAATGGTGGACAACATCACAAGTCTTTGTGGTGTATAATATCCCTTTGTATTTTGGGACATGGAA